CGACCGGGTCAAGTAGGGGACCCGACCGGGTCCAGTGACTTTCTTGGCAATTTCGTCTATTAAATCCTACCCGACCGGGTGGGGGTTTCTACCCGGTCGGGTTTTACTGCTGGGCAGTCAAATTTCTTATTTTCTTCTCTTCAAAGTCTTCCTTTCCAACACCACAAATCCTAACTATACTTTACAACTTATAAAAAAAGACTAAAATACAATTACAACTGAAATCACATAAATGTTTACAAACTAAATAAAACGTCAAACAATCAACATAAATCAAACATAAAAACATATATATATATATGCACTACTAATTAGTGTGCATCAAACACCCCCACACTTAAACCTTTACTCGTCTCGAGTAAATCAAATCCGGTCCAAGATGTCCTTAAAATGACAAGAATATCAACACACACATCCACTAGTGTTTTTAGAAACAACTAAAGTATATCCTTAAAAACATAACAGTAAAGAGGGTCTTCAACTCCATATTTCTTTATCAACCTCAACCTTTTTTTTCGTTACCCTTAGGATCCTGCAGAAATAAAAGAAAATACTTTCTCTTGTTCTCTCATTTTGCCTAGGTGCCCTTTCGGGTTTTCATCCCAGCTTCCCACATTTTTCTGTTTTAATCCTCACAACTCACTCTTATTTTTGCTTTATTTTTGCTTAAGTTGCCCTTTCGGGTTTTCAACTTAACAAGCTTTTATAATTTTTTTTACAAGAATAAAGAGTATGAATGTGAGTATTCCATAAAACTCTCTCCCCAAGCTAATCAAAGCACTGTCTCTAGTGCTTGTGTCTGAGATGAATGTTTTTTTTTTCTTTTTGGTTACTTTTTGGGAGGTTTTGTTGGTGATTCGTGGGTGTGGAGATGAAAAGGGTGAAGAGGTGATGAATGAAATAGGTTTAATTGGTGGATGGATGTAGGAGATATGAAGCTTTTGACTTTTGGAAATGGAGGAAATTTGGGGTGTGGTGCGAATGGGAAGAAAAGAAAATGGGGAAGAAAAGCTGTCCGCCCGCACCCTTATCGGGCTTTTGCCCGATCGCCCGACCGGGTATAGTGACTGACCCGGTCGGGTGTAAGCTGTTCACCCGAGGCAGAGAGTTTTTTGCTGGGTTGCCTGGCCGGGTATAGGGGTCTACCCGGTCGGGCGGTTGATTTATTCTTTGTTCTTCATCTGCCACGCCCGGGCGGTTGGTCGGGTGCTGTGTTTTAAGAGGTAACCCGACCGGGTAGGGTTTTTTACCCGGCCGGGTTCAATCCCAGGCCCCCCCTTTTTTTTACGCACACACGCTCTACTGAAAAAGTATAAAGGAAAACATACCTTGCATGGGTTGCCTCCCAAGAAGCGCCTTATTTTACGTCGCGGCACGACGCCATCATTGTGTTCAGTCATTCAAACTTGGATCATGATAGTTTATTTTTTTCATACTTTCACTCCTAGGACGTTCATAGGAGTGCTCAACTTCTCGACTCTTCAATTTGAGAATCTTTCCAGGATCAAATATCCAGATTGTCATTGATTCATGCGGTGGGAGGAAAGGGAAGAACTTATCGTTTACCATGGTCAATGAAAACGGTTTTGATCTTGGTGGCATGAGAGGGGGTATCAAGTGTTTACTTAACTCCACTGTCATTTCCCGCATATTTGTGAATGAAAAGAAATCTAAATGATACTCTCTCGGTTTATTCGCAACTGCGACAAGTACATTTGAATTACCCTCACATTCGCTGAGGATTTCGTCTCTGTCCTTCTCTACCCTTTGTGTTTCCCTTAGAGCCTCAGGAAATGGTGGCATGATCTCAAGAATGGCCGGTGATGGAGTTGATTTTTGAGGTTCTTCCTCTTCCGGTTGAGCTTTTTCTGCAGGCTCCTCTTCTTCCTCCTCCTCGCGGATGTAGTTCACAACGCTTGGCATTTGCTTTATTTGATTCTCCAAGTTCGATTCGTTGGACACTGTTTCTTGCGGGCATTGTGACATAGCTCTTTACATACTCGTCACGTTGATAGTGAGGGCTCGGACCATGTCTTCAGTGGACATTCTAGAATAAGAATTCGCGTACATGTGATCTCCCTTCGGTAAATTATATGTGTCGGAGAACAGATCATATTTCCTTTGGGAACCAACATCATCAGCTTGTTGAAAGTATTCTTCCTGGAGCTTCGGACAAAAATCCGTAATATGCCTATGAGACATGCAAATATTGCATGTCTTGACATCTTGAGTTTCTGAGCTTAAGATAAACTCCTTTATGAGAGAAGCCAAAACGGAAATTTGACTCTTTAAGGATGATGTGTTGGTATCCATATACTCATGTAAGCTCAGAAAATATATATTTTTTTAAATTTTTTTTTTTATTTTTTTTTTGTTTTTGATTTTTATGAGATAAAATAAAAAGAAAAATAATTGCCTCTCCCCGGCAACGACGCCAAATTTGACGTGCACTTATCGTGAGGTGCACTCAAAATAATTAATCAATACAACACTTATACGTAGTATAGCGTAGTAGAGTTCGTATCCACAGGGAAAAGAATAATTCTCTTTTTATGAAACTTAGTAAATAAAAGGGGGATTTGAATTGAGTGATTTAATTCAATTAAGAACTAAGATGAACAACCTATATGTGTTTATTTCAAAGATAAAAAGGACTTGGCATTGCTACATTCCACTTGTTGATATATTTTAGTCGATCATTGTTATATCTATAACTTATTCCCTCTCGAATACTCAATCGGGGAGTATATCCACTTCATCGAGGGTAGTTATTAACAACAACCGTTCATTAATAACCCTTACTATTAATCAAATATAGAACAACGCCTTATACCGATTTAATAGTAGCATTTAATCTTTCTAACTCCTTAATGAAATCAATTGAGATTGATAAACTCGACACAACGGTTTCGGTTTAACCAACAAAACTAATCCCTCTTATGTTTATTAACCACGACCGTGCATTAATAAACCGAAGTTACTTACTTGTGAAACCATCAACGATTAACCATCGGTTCGTTGATCGTTTCTAGTAATAATTAATATATGAAACAAAACTAGTTGATCCTTTAAGTAATGTTCAAAATATTAATATGAAATATGAGTAGGAATTAATTAATATTCAAGGAAGAATATTATTAAAGAAAATGAATCCTACTATAATTAATATCAAGATGTTAACTAATTGTCATCTTAGCAACACTCCCCAACATTAATATAGAGGAAGAAAATATCATTCTAACTAATGTCGAGATGTTAACTAATTGTCATCTTAGCAACACTCCCCAACATTAATATAGAGATGGTATTAAGGAAAGAACTATTAATTAATATTCAAGGAAAGAAGTTAAGAAAATAACTCACAACTTTAATAATCAACAAGCTTCAAGAGCAACACCAAGAATGGAAGTTTAGCTCCTCATTTGGAGACTAAACATAGCTAGAAAAATATAAAGAAATGCTATTCTAAACTGAGCTAAAAAGTATGGAAGAAGGGATGTTTTTTAGAGAAGAAAAAGAGTGCTATTTATAGGTTTTTTTTAACACCTTTGGCCGGGTACCCGACCGGGTCTAGTACTTACCCGACCGGGTCCGGTCAAAATCAGATAATTCCCCACGTTCTGGTGATCTTCGCACGTCGTTTTGTCCCGGGTCACATCTGACCCGACCGGGTCAAGTAGGGGACCCGACCGGGTCCAGTGACTTTCTTGGCAATTTCGTCTGTTAAATCCTACCCGACCGGGTGGGGGTTTCTACCCGGTCGGGTTTTACTGCTGGGCAGTCAAATTTCTTGTTTTCTTCTCTTCAAAGTCTTCATTTCCAATACCACAAATCCTAACTATACTTTACAACTTATAAAAAAAGACTAAAATACAATTACTACTGAAATCACATAAATGTTTACAAACTAAATAAAACGTCAAACAATCAACATAAATTAAACATAAAAACATATAATTATGCACTACTAATTAGTGTGCATCAATAGCAAACCTACCATATACTTGGCAAATAATACAGTTTCTCATGGGTGCAACAAACATATAGAGACGAAGTATCTTTATCTGATAGATAAAAGTTAACAAAAGGAATGTATGGTCGCGGAGATGCGGTGACATCAATTGTCCCAGCCTGTTGATGTAATTGAAACATGGCACTTTATCTGTTCTATAAGAAGGGAAAAGACATGTCACACTATCAGTGATTTCTTTTGGTGTAACGTTAAGCTCAAGTGGTATCAGAGCCTAAAGTCACAAGTTCGACCCTTCACAGAAGCATGTTGCACAGTTGAGGATGACAGGTGTTGGGGGATTGTTGGGCGGGGGGATGCCATGACAAAAATTTTGCCAGCGTACAAGTGCAATCGAAACATGATGTTTTGTATGTTTTGTAAGTGAGAAATGTGTGCTACACTATCAGTGATTGCTCTTAGTTTAACCCTAAGCGCAACAATCCTCAAGGAAGATTTTTGTGAAGCATTGCAAGAGTGAAGTTCACATTGCATATGTAGTGACCAAGTCTCTTAGAGTGGACAGATTCAGGGAGATCATAGTGCCTTAGAGTGGACAGATTCAAGTAGATCATAATTAGATGACTTTTGATTGTTGTTGTTCGTAACTTTTAAATTACAAATGACGGTTAATTAATCGGTTTAATTCAAAAGTTTGTTCAATAGTTAGTTAAAGAAGTTGTTAGTCAATTTGTTTTTCATTATATATAGTTGTAATCTCTACCTTGCATACATGAAGTTCATCATCTTCCCTAATAGGCTTATACCTTATACACCCTTGTGGTGGGAATCTTTCCCGGATCGTCGATTCGTCACCTTGTGGGGTGTCTTTCGTGCACCGGACGGCACTTTTTATCGTTCATTTGTTTGAGTAGATTAAGTTTAGAGAATCACGTACGTACTTTTTGTGATGCGATGCTCACATATTGTTGCCCTAACTATTATAAATAATAATAAAGGGGTTATGTCTAAAATATTACTAAAAAAAGGATATGGACAAAACGTGACTTTTTTATATGTTCCAAAAATGTGATAAAAATAGTAAAGGGGCTGTTACACCGTTACTAAGCCCAAATCCAACAGCCTACTACAGTGACCAAAAGTGCAGTGACCAACGTCAACTATTGTCACAGTGACCACTTACACATATACCCATTGACAATAACATGTATGTCCAGTGACAGTGACACATATGTCAGTGACAATGATACATACTCTTTCACAGTGACCTACCGTGGACTTTGGCCACAATAACTTGATGTGGCCGCCAATTACCCTGCCGCCTTCTCCGATGACTTATTGGCGCCAATGATAGTTACTCTAGCAACAATAACTAATATATACTCCCTCCGGTCCTAAATAAACTTCACACTTTCCTTTTTGAGTAGGTCCAAAATAAACTTCATACTTCTTCTCCCTTCCTTATTTGGCAAATTATCTACATCAAAACAGTGCAAAACAGTGTAAGACAGTGTCAAACAGTGCCAAACAGTGTCACAACAGTACAATAAAGTCAAATTTATTTCCTTAATTTGTGTGAAGTCAAAGTGTGAAGTTTATTTAAGACCGGAGGGAGTATCAATTAGAGTTACTCCCCTTCGAGTGATCTGATTTTCAAAGAAATTTACCAATTACACCACTGCTCACTCCCTCGTCGCACCGCTCTCCTGGCTACTAGCCGCCGCCCCGCAGGCAACACGACCATGCCCCACGGCATCATTACACTCCCCATGTCCACACGCCTTATCCTCCTCCCCCAACGCCCTATCCTCCTCCACTTATCCCTAGCCTCACACACTGCTCGGAAGGCTGCAACCTGCCTTCTTCCCCCTCTACGGCTCCGACCAACCCGGCCAAAGTTCCGACCAGCCCAACCACAGCTCCGACCAGCCCCACCCAGCCCTGATTTGCTCCGACAAGCCCCACCCAACCCCTGATCACCCATCCCCAGCCCGTCCACCACCGCACGACCTAATCAGCCTAACCCAAAACCTAGCCAACCTACCAGATCTGGAATGTAGCCGTATGCAATCGAGCAGCTGCAATGACACTATAGCCTAGCCGGAATTATCCTCGTCTGTTCACCACCTCTGCCACATGCCCGCTCGGATTTACCCTATTTGCTCTCAAACAGAAAGCGAAGAAAAAGATTGGTAGTTGGCATGGAAGTGCAATGGAAAAGACTATCGGAGGCAGGCGACGAAGACAGAGTGGGGAGGCGGCGAAGATGGAGGGGCGGCGGCAGAGATGGATGGACGGCGCTACCTACACATGAAGCAGAGAAGGTCGTAGACCGGGATTGGTGATTGAAGATTTGATGCCATCTTCAAAGGAGCTTAAGTGTTGCGTCGATGGCGTGAGCCGCTGAGTGCATTGAAGAGAGAGGTAGAGGGAAAATGATTTAGGGTTTAGGTGTAATAAATCAACTTTACAAAGGAGGGTATTTTCGACTATCTGTTCTATTTTTAGTCACTTATTTGTCCAACCGAAAAAGCAGTCTTATTCCGGCCCTAAATCATTCACAAATAGCACTAAATATTATTTTTTTACCCTAAATACCTCTAAGGGTATTAATTCCTAATGAAATGTTTTAATTCATAGTAAAATTGTTAAAAATAATAAAAAATAATAAAATATTTATATAAAAAAAAAATTAAAACATATTTTTTAAAAATTAATAAAAATCCATAAAAATGAATGTCTTTCTCATTGCCTCCACTAGCTTCCTCCCCGCACCACCACCTCAGACCGTTGTAAAAAAGGTCAAGAAAATGACATATTTCTTTTTGATAATGCCAAATTTCATTGAAACTGCCAATAATATGACATTAATAATGCATGTGGCATTTTTTCCAGGGGTGGCAGTCTGGCAGAGGCGGCAACGATTTATATTTTTACGCTTTTTTATTTTTAATTTGTTTTTTTAAAATACTTTTTTAAATTTTTAATTTTATAAATACTTTATTAATTTTATTATTTTTTACGATTTTTATTATTTTTATAATTTTATTATGAATTAAAACATTTCAAAAGCTACAAGGGTATATTTCTCACAAATATTAATCCTATTTGTTACTCTTGACTACCTTTTACTCCTATTTAGGTAATTAAAGTAAGGTGAATGTTACCATATGATGGTCCCTGATAGAGGTAAAAGTCTATGGGGGGGGTGAATAGACTTTTAAATATTTTTTAACTTTAACAATTTTTCTCTTCTAGATGAGTTGACCTATAATCTTTTGGGAGATTTATAGATACACAACGGAAGTCTTTAACCTCTAGATATTCAGTGTGTGACAACTTTCTAGCTTGGATGATGTTTGGACTTAAATAGTGAGCAGTTGGCTGGATGGCAGGGAACTGCGGAGGCAACGACTGAGGAAAGATTTACTGTATGATGAAGGCAAAGATAGAATATTGTTTAGAATGATGAGATCTTTATGAAAATGTGCTGAAATGATTTACAATTGAGAGTTTATGAGAGCAGTGGTCTGGGCCGTTGAGTGGTCTTTAGGGAACTGCTGAGTGAATTGCTTAAGGAAAAATGAAGATATGGAAAGACTGATTTTATAATCTTGCTCAGGGTGATTAGAGCTTTCAGGAAGTGTGCTGAGATGATCTGGAGTGGAAGTTTATGAGAGCAGTTGACTTGGCAGTTGGCTGGTCACGAGGGAACTGCTGAGACAACAGTTGTGCAACAAATTGATTTTCAGAGATCAATTTGAGTAGACTTTTTAGTAGTGATGTTGCAGGGCCTTTGTGAGAAAGTTGTCTCAATGAAAGTAAGTAATTAAGCAGTAGGATAAGCAGTAAGATCAATTAAGATTACTGCTTAGGATACTGTTGGCAAACTATAATCTTTTTGTGAGAAGTGTTGGGTGTGTGCTTTGTTGAATGAAAGTAAATCAACACACAATATATCCTGGTTCAGAGGTGGTGTAATCCTCCTACGTCCAGTCCCACCCTCTTTCAGATGGATTTCCACTAAAGTATTAAGCCCAATACACTTAGTGTCAATCTAGCCTTTACAACACTTAAGCCTAGATTGAAGGTGTTTCACAAGGAGTACAACACCACTCCAAGTTACTCAATCCTTTAGAATTTTCTCAATTGATCCAGTGGGGATCAAAAGGTACTCTATCTATCTATCCACACTTAGGACTTGATAACACAATCCTTCTATGTGTTTACAACAATGTTTTGTGATTTGTTACAAGAAAGTTCTAACCTCTAACCAGGAACTAAACTTCAAGAATTTTAGCAATGAAGACTTGTAACTTAGAAGTTTAGTGAAGCATGAATCCAAGCAGAGAGTAAAGTTAAGTTCACACTTTCTCTTTTGCTAGATAGCTCGTATATGCTCAATGGGAGTTTTTCTGTACTTTGGATGCTCAAAGCTTGGTTAGAAACTTTCGTTTCAGCATATATTTATAGGCTTCTCCTGTTGATTAATCTCATCCGTTGGTTAGGATGATTTAATCTTCACCGTTGAAAATCTGGCAGTGACGAGTTGTTTATTCGTCTTCTTGTGCTGGATCATTTATTGAGGTTGTCTTCAATTAATTTAGCCACTGAAGACCCTTTTCAAAGAAACTTCCATGTGTGCGTTTAATGTTGTAGGTCCGTGTACATCAAATGCCTACCAATTTTGTCTTCAATCATATACATTCAATGTATATGATTTTCGAACCTACTATGTGACAGTTTAATTTTTGTGTGCAAATAAATTTATACTGGTAGGATTTAAATATCCTATTAAGGTAAATAAAAATTACCTTATTGCATTTTTAAATTTCCAGCATAATTTTATTAGTCTAAAAAATTGTACATTTATTTGTCACTTTATGTTTAGACTTGGAAAAATAATACTCGAAATAAATGAGACATAATGTACAAGTGTAGAGTATAGTGGCATCATCAAAATCTATCAAAATTGGGTACTAACAATTTCCCCCTTTTTGATGATGTTAAAACTATACAACACAGGAAACAAATATTTTTATTGATTTTCAAATCTAATGGTACATTGTTCTTAAGATCTAAAGTACAATAGTTTTTAGTCACTTTCCGACTTGGTTGCTCAAGTCTACTCTTGTTAACATCTTCTTATCTTTTCTTGGCTTCTTCCCTTGCTATGGCATCTTCTTCTTCTTTCCTTCTTCAGATTTCTTTTTCTTCTCGAAGTAGCTTATTCTTTCTTCTTGTCTCTACTGATTTTCTGGCTGCTAGTGATCTTGATGATGAGGGACCTGCTGGTGTTGTCCTTTCCCCCTTTTTGGCATCATCAGCAGGGGTCTCACCGTCCTTGAATAGTGCTTCGACCTCCGGATCAGAGTCCTGTTCTTCTTGATGTCTTCGTGCTGGATCGAAGCCATATACCTTCATGGATAATGCCTTTATGTAGTTGTGGATGTCCATGAGGTCAGTCTTTACTTCAAGTTCCAGGTCTTGAATCTTCTTCTTTGTGGATGCTAGCTCTTGGCCCATCTTCTGGAAATCGTCTCCTTGTTTCCAAAAGGTTTCTTGAGTGACCTTTTGGAGGACTTTGAAGATGTTAGCAACGTCCGTTGTAATTTGCCTGATCGCTTGAGCATGAGCTACCTGCTTCTCTACGAACTTTTTAGAGAGTTGGAAGATGGCAGGGAACTCTTCGGTCTTTAGCTTGTTGATGTATGCCTCATGCTCTTGAATTCTTTGAAGGGTCTGCTCAAGGTTAGGAGGTAAAGAAGGGAGAGAAGGTACCTGGGCAGAGGACTCTGCTGCCGGGTTGGAGGCACCTGCTTGCTCTTGGTTCCGCAGTTGCCTGATGTAGGTTTGGATTTGAAACTCCAGTTCTCCGTCTTTTGCCCTTTGATCTGTCAGCTCTTTGTGTATGGCTTCTAGTTGAGCTGGCTGCTGGGAGAGTTGTATCTTGAGTTGTGCCTTTTGTTCAGCATTGTAGACTTGCTAGATCATCAGGTTACTCTTGATGTGGCAGTGAACCTCTGCAAACCTCATCTCCGAAAGTTTGTCAAAATGCTTTTGCATTTTGATCAGTCTATTGTGTAGGCGAACCTCGGCGTTGCTAATGAACTTGGTGGTTGCTCTTCGTTCTTGGATGAAGATCTCAGCTAGTGTTGGAGTGTCCTCTGCCCCATCAGTGAGAGTTTGCTCCTTGAGTTCATTGGATGTTGTAGGCAGTTGCTCTGGGGCTTCTTCCTCTTGATAAGATTCCACGTTGAGATCAAGGAGTTGAGCTCCCTGCTGGAATGTGGCAGCCAACTGCTCTTGGGGAGCTTTAGAGGATTCTCCTCCTCCTTGAGTTTCTAATCTTGATTTCTCAAAAACCATTCTGAGTTCTTTATCACTAGAAGAGGATAAGTGGATTATTTGCTTACCTCTTGAACTAGGTGATCCCTTAGGACCATTGACAGCATCATCATCATGCCATAAAAAGGTAAGGGTAACGCATCTATCATGAATTAGTTTGATCCAAGTCATTGTCTATTTATTTTTTCATATTTAAATTATTTAATTGCAATAGTAATCAAATTGATCGATGTGAATAAGGTGGGTAGATGCACAAAATATGCCTTATATTAATAGGGAGCAATACTTTTAGCCTAAAACTCTGGGAGCTTAACAGTCTTAACACCCTCTAGCCACAACCTTGTTCATAAGAATCACAACCGTGTACATTAGTTATTATTGGGTACTTAACTCCATATTTACCAATGAAACTCCGTATTTTGTCTTCGAGGTTATCAAATGAAGACCAAACACTCAGGACACGTTTACTTCACGGGTTCATAAACAATGCTTAATAAAATTCACGTTAATAAGCGGTGCATAAAATAAGCAGTGTTGTAAGCTCGTGTTTACTTCAAAGGATTTAAAACACCGTTTAACATTAAAATGTTCAAAATAACCCTATAGATATATACACACACAAACATTCATGAACACAAGTATATAATATAATATGTGGGGTCACCTCGTACGCTTAGTCGCTTACCCACACCCTTAACCCCTACCCCGCCCTGTACCCCCACTGATGAAATGGTTAGCAACACAAGAGAGGGGGGGGGGGGGGGGGGGTGAATTGTGTGTGTGTGTGGAACCGTGACAGTTTTTCGCATAGTTCTAGTGTGGGGTTCAGAGAAATGCGAAATAGTAAAGTGCACAAGGATTTAACGAGGAAAAATTCATTAGCTCAAAGGGATTAAAAAACCTCGACCTCCCTCGAAGGAATTTTAAACAACTTCACTAAAAAGCCTTTTGTGGTTACAAGGTAAATTCTCCTAATCTACCCTTGAGCCACCCCAACTCTATCATCTCTAGGAAGAGTTATGCATCTCTACCTTGCGGGTAAAGAGTCTCAGCTTTACAACAAAGCACTCACACACACGACCCCAACCCGAGGAAGCTACACTTTAGCTTTTCCTCAAAATCTAGTTACAAGATAAAGAAGGGAAAAGAAACTATATCTAGAACTTCGTGAGCAGGTCCGGGTGT